ATCACTATCTCAAAACCTGAGTGGCTTAGAAGCACAGAAGTGACTCAAAACAGCCCATCGGTGACATCCAAATAGCCATGTTTGTAAGTAAATGTAATTCACACATCCAGAACAAACAGAAAATCCATTATTTTCGGTGTTGGAGGACCGCATCAAAACTTATTTTAAAAGATGCTGAGTATAATTTAAAGTGATGCTGTCAGGTTAAACAACTTGGGTCTCTCTCCCTGTCGTACGTGTGACCTCAGAATCATTAGAATGGAGTTGCTACTCCGCTGCGAGTAAGATGACAGTCGTACTCTATCACAGGTAAATATTCAGCTGAACAGATTTTAAATTCCCATTGGTTGGGAAGCAGAGTAATGCCGTACCTTCAGTGAAGTTACTCTGAATTTATACTAACATAGTAAGGAGGCCCTTGGTCTCTTATCTTCCCGAAAGTATGCTGTGCAGCGTTTTAAAGTTGCTCGGGAATTAACAGAAATGTCAGTCATGCTTTAGAAGAGCCTAAAAATACTTCCTAGTCAAATGGATTTTCACAGAAGTGCTGAAAATGTAAAAGGACACACAATTCTGATTTTCATAGTTAGCTGCATGGCCGTGCTCATATATGAAGAATCTGTCTTGTCTCAATCAAAACAGGATACAATTTATTACCCTAGAGACTATAATACTACTCTTTAATATAGGCACTGCATAAATAAGGATGTAGATTGAATATTTTTTGTAAGTGATGAATAAGTTGGAGTATCTTAGATGTCAGTGACCAAAGCTGAACCCCTAAATAAGGTCCAAACTGTCTCTGATTGAGCAGCCAAAATTGCCATAGTTCTACGACTCTTGGCTGTTCTGAACCTGAGGTGGTATCAAAGGAACGTGAAATTACTTAAAATAATTTTGTGTTAGATTCTGTGTCAAAGCTGGGTATTGTCTGCTTGAACGTCTATACTGTCTACCTGGAGCACATTTAAGGAGAACGTAAATGTAATATATTATCTCCCTCATCGTGGAAAACTTGAGATTTCTTGTGTGCTTCTTCTATCATCATCAGTGGGTTGTCTCCTTTCCTTACTTTCTACTAAAGTATAATGCATAGTTTGTACTATTCTGCCATGAAATAATACAAATGTTTTCTTGGGTACATTGTTTAAAATACATGTTACGGGTCCGAAGTGGCCATTCTGTTTGCAAAACTTCTGTTACAAAAAGGATTTAATAATATTCATGGCTCTGGTTGTGTAGATATGGTAGTGGACACTTTCCTAATTATCTTTACATAATTAGATGTGAATCACTCTCTTTTAAAATTGTCTCAATTCTTTCATAGGTTGTTTAACGTTTGCATGTTTCCCTTTTTTTGCTTGTGTCTGTGAACTATAAAACTGTTCCAGACACATATCTGGTACATGCTAAGCTCTTCAACCGCGCCGTATAGCTTAACCTAAAATCACAGAGGAAATAGAATGTTTAAATTTCTGCTTTATGCCTCTATTCTTCATCAGTGACACTTGAAGTTCTGTTAATATATTTTTATCTTCAAAAGTCAAGCAGCTCTCTAAATGTTCGTACAGCGCCGTGTCTACAACATCATACCTACAGAAAGGCGCTGCCAGGAGAGGTTGGGCCTCAGATCTGGCGTGCTACCTGGCGGTTAGAATTAAATGGGGAACGTCCTGGTTAGTTGCAATATTTTTAGTCCTTGTGCGGGGAATCACCTGTAGGACTCCTCACCGCCAGCAGCTGTGATACAGTTCTTCCCTCGTTCTTCTGCTTTGGGAAACGGTCTCGGAAGGGGAGCTTTCTGTAACCGCTTTCGAAGCTGGGGTGCTGCCTATATCCCCGCCGATGTGCACACCTCACCCCGTCTCCTTTCCTCCCTGCTGTGCTAGCCTGCTTCGGCGTGGCAACGCTCAGCGGCCCACCGGGCATCCAGAACCCCCCTCGCCTCCTCCTCCGCCTCCATCCTCAGGCGGCAGCAGCAACCCACCAGGAGAGGTTTGATGCCGGCAGTGGGAAAACCGCCGCTGAAACGTCCTCGCTCCTGGCCCTGGCCTCTTGCTATATATTTATCAAAACGCTGTTTTTCAGTCTGTTTCACAAGATTTGCTGTTCGACTGTCAATACCCATGCGCCGGTTATTTAAACTTTACTGAGGCAAACATTTTGAGCTGCGTACCCTTGGTGCAAATTAGATTAACTAGAGAGTGACACCGGTGAACACTTGGAGTAGTGTATCGTACCCATGCCTCAGTCTCATTAAAACTAATGAATTAAGTTTGTGGACCTGTATACCTGATGTCTTTATTTTCAGTCACTGCTGTCTTGGTTCTGTATGCATAATAATTAGTTTTCAGAATTTTCAGCGTACCTCCCCAGGCCATTTTCTGGGTATTTATGCAATTAGTTTAATGAACTTTGCTTAGGAGTTGCTATGTGATTAACAGTCATTACCTTCCCGGATTGCCAATTTTACAAATTACCTGGAGATTTCACGTTCCGCAATTAAGTTTTCTTATTCACCGCAGAAAACCAAAACATTTTTGTGGCGAACCCGCCCAGCTAAGAAACAATAAAGGCTCAGCTGGTTGGGGTTGTACTCGGAGGGTGACGCACCCTCACCCT